TCCCAACTTTTTTCCCAAAAGAATATGAAAATGGTTCATGTGCTTGAATTCACACGCCACATTAAAACAGGATCTAAGGAAAGTATTTCCTAAGCCAATGCCAGTCCTAAGGAAAGAAACGATACTGGGGGAAGGAGAAAGGATGAGTACACACACCTACAAGGAAGGAAAGATGCCAAGTGTCTTAGAATTTCACAAATAGGACGAGTCAGTATCTCAGAAACATGGTTCTGTGGCTGAGAAGTGGAAAGCCCTGGATGGAACTAGCAGAGATGCATAAGAAAATAGAAGAAGCTCTAACATAGGAGTGAATTAAACCTTAACTGTAAACAACGTTCTACACAACAATGAGATACTGGAGCAATCTTTCAAGACTCTTTCTATAGGGGCCAGTGCTGTGGCACAGTGGGTTAAAGATCTGGCCTGCGGCACTGGCATCCCATATGGGTGCCGGTTCCAGCCCTGGCTGCTCCTCTTCCCATCCAGCTCTCTGCTATGGCCTGGGAAGGCAGTAGAAGATGGCTCAGTAGAAGATGGGCCCCTGAACCACGTGGGAGACCCAGAGGAAGCTCCCGGCTCCCAGCTCCGGAGCAGCTCAGCTCTGGCCATTGTGGTCATTTGAGGAGTGAACCAGCAGAATGGAGGATCTCTCACTCTCTCTCTTCTCTCTCTCTCTCTCTCTCTCTCTCTGGCTCTACCTCTCTCTGTAGCTCTTTCAAATAAATAAAATAATTCTTAAAAAAAAGACTCTGTGAAGTAATTTTTGGCCAAGGGTCGGGAAAGAAGTATGATAAATAGGAGCAATGAAAAGTTTTAAGAAAATTCTAGATGGTATTATACACTTTTTAGTATCAGTTTAGGCTTTACGTAGTAGGATCTCAGGCTCAAGTATAAGTTTTAAAATTTCAGGCTTATAACAGCCCTCTGGTCCTGACTGAAAATCTTTGAATAGGTTAAGAGCAAAGAAATGACAGATGTGATGGCAGATTATTTGTACAGAGACAAACTGAAGATTCACATCCATCTGTACTAATTCCTGAAACCTTCTCCATCCCAAAGACAAAAAGCATGGTAGAGCAACCACATCTTCAATTTGTCAGAGTTGGAATATTTATGTTCTTTTTTTTTTTACTTTTATTTAAGGTATACAGACTTCATACATTTCATATAGACAAATTTAGGAAAATAGTGATCTTCCCACCCTGCCTTCCTTTCCCTCCACCCTCCCACCCTTCTTCCTCCTGCCTGTACTATTCCCATTCTTATTTTTTTTTTACTAAGATCTATTTGCAATTAACTTTATACACATAAAATTAATCCTACACTTTATGTCCTATTGTTAGGCCTTCCACATGGTCAACTCTGATGGCACTGGCAGGTACACCCCATAGGGATAAACCCAGTACCAGACAACCAACAGGAACTGATCAACCACTTTTAAAGTAAATCCAAAATAGCATGTTTCTATGGCTCTGAATCAATATCTCAGAATTGAAAAGTAGTAGATGTTTTCACAACACACAACAGTAGGTGTCTTCACACACACACACACACACAAAGTCATATTTTTCATTCAAGGTCTCAAAGATCTGAAATTATCTTATTTCTAAAAAGTTATACCCATCCTTTCACAAAATTTTGTGTAAACTGTGAATCAACATATCCATTGCTGTAAGATAAGAGTAGAGATTTTGGTCAGAGAATTTGATTTATAGTCAATCTACAATCCCTCCCAAAGGGGTTTGGAGATTAATAAGATAAAATCTATTTTATCTAAATAGGTTGGCTTTTGACATATTAACCTTTCTTCCTGTTCTTAACCTGAGTACGATTTTTTAATTTTTTTTTTAATCATGACTGATTTCAGGTTGTGAGTCAGTAGCTTAGTTCAAGTGCATTCTGGGACCCTTTTCCAGCTCTCCCAGGGTCCCTGAGCAGGATCTTGTTAGCACCTGAAAAGTTTGGCACACACTAAGGTAATTAGCTTTCTTTCACACCTAAATTTACCTCTACCCCATGCAAACTTGCAGCTGTTCTCCTGCATTTGTTACTCAAATGATCTCCCTAGCAAACACTGAATCATGAGGCTGAGGCAACATAACCTTATTGGCCTCCTAGGGACCTGGTCCTACTTCCTTAGAATACACTCTTCACAGCCATTACTTGGAGAGTCATTTTCTACATTTAGCATTGGAAACTTCGAGTGTGTACAATAATGCCTTTCAGTGTAATGATAGAGGAAAATAAATGAATACCTTGGATATGTTTACTTCTAAGTCTTACAAGTTGCACTGATTTTAAACTCAGTTTTCACTGGTTCTAAATTTATGTTGTACAAGCATTTATTTCACAAAAGTACTTATTTATTAAACAGTAGATACATTAAGGACTTACTATGTAAAATACTATAATTTTGACTAATGGATTAAAAAAGTAATTCAAACCTTATTTCTACCTGTCAGATATCCACAAACAACAGCTATGTATAATATCAACAAAACAACAATGTTATTATAATATGTGAGAAGTACTATAAAATCCTCAAATACATCTTGCAAGCTCCAGATTAAAAATATTTTTGAGAATTGAGTCATGAAGTTCAGTCAAAAAAATATCAAAGAGGGAATATTTAGGGTAGACTTTGAAATATAAAGTTATTTTTTCCAATTTTTTGGAGGTTCCAATTCAGAGTTTTCACTCAGTTTTCTATATATCATGAATTAAATGTAGAAAAATGGGATGTTCTAAGTGAGAGCTAGGTTTGAGAAAATTCATTTAGGTGAGAACCTAGACTAACATAATGGTGAGAATATTATATTTGACAGTGAGGATTACAAATCCTACAAAGAAAACTTTCTTATTATGAGGAAGGTTTTTCCTTCTGGTGAATGCTCAAGGATGAGAAATTACAGGAATCAGGGAACTTCTAAAGGAAAACAGTTTGCAAGGAAAAACAAAACAGAAAACCTCAGTTATGTGAGATAGGTATGAGAGAACCTGAACCTTGGGAAAGGAAACACAGACCAAGATCGGCATGGACTTTGAGCAAAAATACCAAGAGGAATAGCTGTGAAACTGAGTGCTTCTCTTTCCCTGAGTAAGTACCCCGAGCCCTGTCCAAAGCACTGAGTTCTGTCCCTGAGGTCTCAGGGATTTGTGGATAATTACATTGTGCCAGAGCTATTAAAGGAATCTTCATTTTCTGTATAAACTTAGTGGGTGTAATCATGACTAATTAGCAAAGATTTCAGCCACCAGTACTGGGATAGCCAAAGTTATAAGACAAGAAAGGATTTGGAGTCTGTAGACACTAAATCTAAAAGACAGTGTTTGATACAGGAGACTGATAATACAAATGCTACAAACAGTTAAAGATAAGCTGAAATTGAGAACAACCCAAGTTTTGAACCCAAGTTGTGGTTGGATCTATGCAAGGATGAAAGGCATTAATTTTTTGTAAGTACTTACAATAATGTACATGTTTATTATATTATATATGTATATATATGTTTATAATAACTAAATGATAGGTGTTTCTATTTCTACTTTATATTTGATTTTATGAATCATTTCATTTTTATATAAATTAAAAATAATCACTTGATTGTGGTATCTTCTTTTTTTGAGATTTATTTATTTATTTGAAAGTTAGAGTTACATAGAGAGAGAGGAGGCAGAGAGAGAGTCTTCCATCCACTGGTTCACTCTCCAATTGGCAGTGCCAGCCAGAGCTGTGCCGATCTGATGCCAAGAGACAGGATCTTCTTCCAGGTCTCCCACACAGGTGCAGGGGCCCAGGGTCTTGGGCCATCTTCTACTGCTTTCCCAGACCATAGCAGAGAGCTGGATCAGCAGTGGGGCAGCCGGGTCTTGAACCAGCGCCTGTATGAGATGCTGGCACCACAGGCAACAGCTTTGTCCACTATACCATAGCACTGGCCCCAACTGTAGTATTTTATAAATGATTTTATTTTATATATTCTCGGAAGAGTTGTTATCACAAAAGATCGTTCTTCTTTGTTGTTTCTCTCCTTCTCCCTTGATTTTCTCCTTCTCTCCTCCCTCTCTTTTCCTTATTTCATTTTCTTCCTTTCTAACTTCCTTTCCTTTATCTTTCCTTTTTTACCTTCTTTGTTTTTTTCTTCTTTTCACATTTTTCCACTGTTGAAACATACATAATTCTGTTTTCCTAATTTGGTTTTAAAAGTAGGCATTGGAAATAATGGTAAATATTTATGTTAGGAATCTAAAACTTTTAGAAAAGTTTAACACCATAGCTCCTTTATAATGTTGAAAATTTTGTCAACATTTCTGTGACATTTTCAGACCTCCAACATTTCCTTGCTTGACCTATCTTCCTGAGGGCTATGGACAGAAAGGAGGGGGAAAAAGTCTCAGGTTTGCAGAAGCTAGCCTTAAGAGTAATATTGAGATGCTTCTTCTATTAAGATAAGAAAACAAAAACAAAACCCAAAATGCTCCTTATCTTCAACCTCACAGCACTGCACTATGTCCCTTTATTAAGAATATAAGAAAAGTATCTTCACTGTAGTCAAGAGCTTCAATTTTCTTATCTGGGAAGCTGGCATACTAATTACTAATGCCATATAAAAGAAAACCATAAAACTTATAGCTTAATGCAGCATACTTATTATCTCAGAGTCCCTTTGTATCTAGTCTGGGTATGGTGTATCTGGTGTCATAAAATTGTAATTAAAGTATATTTGGGACAGACTGCACTCTCATGTGGATACTCCAATGGGAGACAATCCACTTCCATGCTCACTTAGTGGTTGGCAGAATTTCTTTGCTGTGGCTGTAGGATTAAGAACCCCACTGCCTTTTTGATTGTCACCTGTAAGCAATATGAACTTATCCATAGCAGTTCATAACAGCATAATTCAGGTTAGTAGGAAAGAAAGAGTAAGGTCTGCTAGCAACACAGAATAAATAACCATTCAAGTAACATCTTACCACCTTTGTCATATTCTTCCTATCAGAGGAAAGTCATAGTTGCATCCACACTCAAGGGAAGATGATTTTACAAGAGCGTGAACACCTGAGGAGGGAACTCATTGGGCTCCCTTAAAAATTTCCGCCACAGAGGAGGCATGGTTTAACATTCACAGAGTCCTCAATCTTGGAAAACAAGCAATCAACATGGTTTCATCCATCACAGCCCATCTGATCATCCCATCCATTTCACAACGATTCTCAGAGGTAAGAAATATAGTTCTATAAAATAAAGATGATATTGGAGGACAACCTGTTAGGTGACTGGTGAGTGATGAAGTTGCTGTTCCTCTCTCACTATTATTTGTGGTATGAGCTCCTGATTTCTAATCTTAGCCATGATTCAGGGTCTATTAATGGTGACAGGTCTAATTCCTCTTTAACTTCTTCCACAACTTTCAAAATATAGATGATGATGTGCATCAATCTTAGGAGGGCTTAGCATGTGAAGAATCCACCTCAATTCTGTGCAGAAATAGTTTTGAGTGGAGAATTCAGCAGAAAGCAGCATGAATCTTAAAAAGAACCAGCATAAAACAATGCTGGGAGAAGATAAAGTTTTAACTTACTATACAAAAGTGAAGACTAAGGAGCGACTTATTTGCAATTTAATACAGGAGAAATCTTTACAAAAAATAAGACTATTTTGCATATTCAATGACATCTAAATTTCATTAATTAAGGGAGCAGAGGATTTTGTTTAGCCAACATGTTTTTAAAGATTTGGAAGATGTTCTATGATCTTCTCTAGGTGGGACTTAAAGCTAAAATTGTCATGTTTTAGAATGAATTGGAAATGCCCTTGACATTTTTTTCATTTCCTAGATTCTACTTATTTATTAATTACATATTACCTGAAAGTGTAAACTTGTTTTTAAAACAAAGAATTAAGAATCCTCATATGAAAGATAATTCAGAACAAAATAAGGCCTATTCTTCTGAATTTTTATAAATTAAATTTATTAGTTTTAAGAGTGGAATTACTAGACAGGAAATGTAGAAGATCACAGAAGAATATACAAATATCCCTTGGTATCCAAGTTAGGTCTGAATTTCATATTTTTATCACTGGAGCACTGGAAGATATGGCTATGCTTATACAAATATATCATTAGAGCATAAATAATTACTATTGTGAAAGGTTTGTGTCAAGTAATAAAATACTCACCGAACACAAATAGCATGAAAGAAAGAAATGCAGGGAAGAAATGATGAAGGGGGGGCGGGTCAAGACAAAAGGAAGAACACAGCCAAACTGATCATTTCACCAGATTCATTGATTGTTATGTGATTAGACTGTTAAGTGTCAGACAACGCTTAACATTATGGAATCTTACTAGGAAAATGACCTAGTCCAATGTCAAGAGCAAATGTGTAATCCATTTCAATACTCTTCAAAGATCCTCATTCAGATTCTTTTGGAATCATTCCATGGACTAAAATCTCAACTTCTCAGTTCATTTGTTTCATTATTGAGTGCTGAGAAAGTTCTTTCTTATCTTGCTTCCCATTCTTTTCCACAGGACTATTGTCTATTCTTGGAGCAGTGCATATTGACTTTTTTTTTACTTTAATGTAGATAATCTTTCACAAATGCAAAGATTGACATCAGGATTTTCACTTAACCTTTTCTTTTTCGAGTAAATATCTAGATTCTTCAACTGTCTAATATATTTAAGAGTCTTAGTTCTTCTAGAAGTTTCCCTGTTTCTCTGATATTGATATAATGGAGAAGAGAAAGGATCATAATAGGCCATAGTCCTTAGATAGATAGGGATGCAGTGTTGACTTGCTTATGAATTTAACTTCAAAACCAGTTGCTTAATCAGTTCATCATAAAGACACAGACTGGCTCATAAAACAACAGATGAGTGAGCACACAATAAAATCTAAGCTGCAAAGGTCATTAAACACTAAAGATATATTGTTGAGTGGAACTTGCTTAGGTAAGAACTTCCTACCCAGTATCACACCATAATGATTAATGCATGCATATGTGAACTTTATGAAAAAGATAATGAATTGATTGTGTTCTTAAATGATGCCACTTTAGACCTGTTTGGCTTCCTCTCCTCCTTTGGGAATCAGCTGACCACACTCTGTTAGTTTAAACAAATGAATGTTTAATGTGGGCCATTCTGCCAACCAAGTTGGATAAAATGGAATCATTTATCAAGGAAAAGCAAAGAAAAATAATGAAGTGGTCTTGTATGCTGGGAAGAAGATGAAGACCAGTAGTTATCAAGAAAAAGAGGCTGTATTTTGTAATTAAAGATCCAACAAAGGCCCAACATTAGGTATACTTCCCGTACTTTGATTTACACATATTTTGATTTCAGGGGAATACCTATAATCATATCATGAGTCCTTCTCTCTTGTTCTTCAAAGACAGCTTTCTCCAGAAGCTTTGATTTTTAATATTAGCCCCTTTAAACACACCTCCATTTTCTTAGTGTTCATCCAATGGGATGGTGAATAACAGTAAAACAATTAGAAAAGTAGTAAGTAGAAAGTACAAACTTAATTTTTATTGTCATCTTGTGTCACTGTGAAGTAATACCACAGTTTGGGAAATTTGTGAAGAAAGAAAAAGTATTTCTCACAGTATTGGAGTCTAGGAAGTCCACTAGCATGGTAACAGCATCTGAAGAGGGCTGAAAGGCACAAGGGAAAAAAGTAACAGGAGACACAGAATTTAAAAAGGGGTCAAACTCCCTTCCTTTACATCCTGCTACTGGGATAACTAACACAGTAATATAACAGCCTTTATTCTATGTATCAGGGCACTGCCTCTATGAACTAATTGCATCTTAAAGGTTCTATCACTCAACATTGTTCATTGATTAAGTTTCTGGCGCATGAATTTTGGAGTGACACATTCAAACCATAGCACAATGGCTATTTGTGACAACAGACTAAAGAATACCCTAGTTATATATCTAACATTTCATATTTAATATAAACTGATATTTTCTGTACTTTGTCGTATTCTAACAACTGAGGGAAAGATACAAGAAAAATACAAGTTACAACCTCTCTTTTCAAGAACTTATATATTTTGAAGATGAGGAAACATATGCCTGAAAATACTTACACATTCAAAATAATACATAAATTATTCTATATATGCATAAATATATGTAGATATATATTTACATACAGAATAAAATATATAAATAAACAAGTAAATGCATGCATATAAACTAATCATATGCATGAAATAAGTTCCAAATCATAATAAGAGCTATCATTTGGAGAAATGAAGGAGGTTTCACCATTGGAAAAGCATATTGAAAAGTGGTCCAAGAGGCTGAGAAGACTAAGTCCAAAAGGAATCCAGTAGGATTTTTCTGTTAAATTTTATGTTTTATGCTCATGCTTTTTAAACACTGTTCTGAATTGTATATATATTTTACATACTTATATTGCACACACACATATGTTTGATTTAAAAAACTGAAATCTTGCTATAATAGAGTGTAGAGATTTCCTATTGTAAAATAGTCATTGTATGCACACTCTGAATGGGAAAAAGAAGGAAGAGATGAACGAGTGAGGAAGGGAACACTGATAGATAAAAGCAACTCAAGAGCATTTTATCACTGGAGGTATTGTCTCATCACTTCAGCTGAACAAAAATGGGAGGTGTACATTTCTCTCGAAAAGTTTTGTATAGTGACCACTTACTATGTGCTATTTACATATTTTTTGGGAAATAGAAGCAGCTTGAATGTGAACTTAATACCCAGATGTGGGTACTCATCTAGCCCTATCCTCATCTATGGTCATGCCTACAGCAACTGGCTATAGAAGGCAATGACTAAAATTCTAGGTTAAGCTCAAAGAAAGGTTTTTTGTTTTATTTCATTTTTGTTTTCAATTCACTATGTACAGAAAGAGCAGATAAAGTTTTGAGTATTGATAGAGGGGAACTTTACTAAATGTAGTGTGTGGGAGATATTTATTAAATTAATAAATCGGGGCCGGCACTGTGGTGTAGTGTTTTAAAGCCCCAGCCTGCAGAGCTGGCATCCTGTATGGGCGCCCATTCGAGTCCCGGCTGCTCTCTGCTATGGTCTGGGAAAGCAGTAGAAGATGGCCCAAGTCCTTGGGCCCCTGCACCCATGTGGGAGACCTGGAAGAAGCTCCTGGTTCCTGGATTCGGCTCAGCTCAGCTCTGGCCATTGCGATCATTTCTGGAGTGAACCAGCAGAATGGAAAACCTCTCTCTCTCTTGCTCTACCTCTCTCTGTAACTCTGTCTTTCAAATAAATAAAATAATAATAAACATATTAATAAATCAAGGGAACTTCAAATTTTTGAAGGAATAAAAGAAAACTATCAAACTGCTTAAGTTCAATATTGATAGTATACAAATACACAACATAAATCCTTCTATGTAATGCTGTAACTCTCTATCAAAGATGCCCCAAAATATCTTCCCACATTTCTTTTGTGAGTTATCAGCCAGTATTTACTTAGATACGGAATAATTTTGGAGAAATTAAAGAAAGCCAGATTGATTTTATGGAATATATTTTTGTTTAGCCATAGAATGAAAATGTTATCATTTGTGGGTCAGGCATTGTGGCGTAGCACGTTAAGCTGCCCCATATCAGAGTGCTAATTCAATCAATACTGGCTACTCTAGCCTTCTGAAACAGCTCGCTGCTAATGTACTTGGGGAACAGCAGATGATGGATCAAGTATTTTAGTTCCTGTCACCCTCATGGTAACACCAGATGAAATTCCTAGCTCCTGGTTTCAACTTGCCCTATTTCTGGATGTTGAGGGCATTTAGGGAGTGAACCAAAAGATGGAAGATGTCTCTCTCGCTCTCTCTCACTCTCTCTCCCTCTCTCTGGATCTCTCTCTCTCTCTCCATCTTTCTGTTTTGAAATAAATATATCTTGAAAAATGTTATTTTCTGTTTATATATCTTTTGAAATAGTAATCATTCTCATATCAATTGAGTTTAAAGAAATAATACATTGAAACATGTTTAGGGACCAGTGCTGTGTAGTAGTAGGTTAAGCCTTGGCTTTTGGTGTTGGCATGCTATGTGGGTGCCAATTCATATCCCAGCTGCTCCTCTGCCAATCCAGCTCTCTCCTATGGCCTGGGAAAGCAGTAGAAAATGCCCCAAGTGCTTGGGCCCCTGCACCTGCATGGGAGACCCAGAAGAAGCTCCTGGATCTTGGCTTCAG